GAGAGAGAGAGAGAGAAAAAAAAAAGAAAAAAAAAGCAAAGAGGTATGCTCCCAAAAAAACCGGCCCGATCCAAAAATGACAAGGAAAAAAGGAAACTCGTGTTAGTACAATGGGCGACTGGCTGTCAGTAACAGACTGGTTGCCCGTTCTTCTTCGCCATGCCGCCTTTAGGACTCCTCCCGTCTTCCTCTTGCTCTACCGCCTTGCTGCGGTCTATTATCTTTACCATCCCCCATCCCCCATCCCCCATCCGTCGGACCGTCCCAAGACAAGAGAGCGTTTCTTCGTCTACTCACTAAACCCGGTTGCCCGCCTCCTTGTCGTCGTTATCCCTGCGTGTGTGTTGTTGTTTTTTTTTTGGTGTTTTTGTTTGGTGGGTGTTGGTGATGATGCATGCGTCTTTTTCTCGGTCGCGAACTTCGTCACATGACGTGAGGAAACTAAACCACGGGGGAAAGCCGACCTAACTCCCCCAAGCCCAAACTCAAGGAAAGGGAAAGCGGAAAGAAGCAGGAAGATGGCCACGCGGATAGGATGTCTTCGCCGATCGCCGACGACCGCGAATCGATGTCTTTTTGTCGGAGAGTCCGAAGGCCCGAGGACGGCTCTGATTGCGCCCCGCCGAACGCCGAGGCCGATGAGGGCAAAGAGAAATAAGAATGCTGATATGCCGGGGGAAAAAAAACACAAGGTGATGATACAACAGGTCCTCGGTCGCGATGCTGCGATGTGGAGGGCCTGTAAAGCAAAGAGGTGGAAAAAAAAAAATGCGGCGGTATTATACTGTCGTGAAAGAGCGTCTAAGGATTAAAAATTGCGGTTGGTTGTTTTGGCTTTGGGCTTGGTGGGCGCCGAGATCCGGTTTCCCGGCTGCGTCGGTCAAGGCCGACTGCCACACGAGCGATGGTGGTACAGAGGACGCTTTCTAGTTCGCGCCTCGAAAGACATTAGGCGGCCCTTTCGGAGAGGGGGGGGGGAGGGACTGCGCGCGCCCGCCCGCCCTGTTCAGGGCTCATTAATGAGGACCACGGATGGAGGAGGAGGTGCGGTGGTGGTGGTGGTGGTGGAGAGAGGACGAGAAAGACAAGAGATGAAACCCGGTCGTCGGGCCATCTACATGTTCTCGATGCGGGCGCTAGGCATCTGGATCCCGGCGTCCTCAAACTCGAGCTTGGGCCCGCCCCAGGGGTCGTACACGCCAGAGCCGTACGTGGGCAGCTGACCGATGGTGGCGACCACCTCGACGGGCGACTGGTACTGCACGCCGTTGTACCACTGCTCCTCGCCCGTCGGCGCCGGCGGCGGCGCGGGCTGGTACTGGTCGTGGGGCTGGGGCGACGGGTGGCTCGAGGGCGCCTGCATCTGGCCGCCCTGCTGCTGTTGCTGCTGCTGCTGCTGCTGTGGCTGCTGCTGGTACGGCGGCATAGGGGAGTGCTGGGCCTCGACGGGCGAGGCGGACTGGTGCGGGTGGTGCTGGTGGTGGTGGTGGTGGCCGGCCGTCTGCAGCGCAAAGGTGGCGGCCTGGGCCGACTGGTGCGTGTAGAAGCCGCCGTCCTGCGCCGACGGGCTCCTGACGGATCCGGCCGAGAAGCTGCTGGGGCTGCTCTGGATGGACGCGTTCATGCCGGCCGAGTATGACGACGGGATCTCGACGGCGATGCGGTCGACCTGCTGCCGGGGCACCTGGTGCGGGTGGTGGTACTGCGTCGCCACCTGGCTGGGCACCTGCGTGTTGAGCGTCGCGACGCCAGGGTTGCCCTGCTCCGTCACGTAGTAGGGCTGCTGCGGCATGCTGGCTGTCCTGTGAATCACGTGGACGGGAGCGCCTGGGTGGCCTGGTTGCGGTTGTTGTTGTTGTTGTTGTTGGTGGTGTGCTGCTGCTGCTGCTGCTGCTGCTGCCTGCTGCTGCTCGTGCATGGTGGGCAGGCCGTGGAACTCGTGCGGCACCGACGAAGAGAGGCTTTGGCGGTGGCCGGCGAACTGGGGCTGGGGAGGATGCTGCAGGCCGTACTGCTGGGGACCCATGTGGTGGCCAAAGTCGGCAAAGGACTGGGCGCGGTGCAGGGCGTGGTGGTGGTGGTTCTGCTGTTGCTGTTGCTGCTGGTGCTGGTGGTGCGGGTGGACGCCGCCCATTGCGGCGACGGCGGCGGCGTGGTGGTGAGCCGCCACGGCCATGTGGACGCCCTGGGGGTGGTGGGCGGCGGCGGCGGCGCCCCCCCACTGCAGCGAGGCGCTCTTGGGGGTCGAGGGCGAGTCCTCGGACCCCGAGTCGGAGCTGCAGTCGTCCAGCTCGGACGAGTGGATGCCGCGCTGGTGCGAGCGGCGCTGGTGCTTGACCATGGTGGTCTTGCGGCAGAAGGACTTGAGGCAGCCGTCGTGCGCGCACTTGTACGGCCGCTTGCCCGTGTGGATCCTGCGATGCCTTGCCAGGGAGGAGGACTGTTTCGGGGAGGTTTGTGTTAGTTGCACAAGCTTGGGTGAGAGAGAGAGAGAGAGAGAGGAGAGAAAAGTCAAAAGAGATGATCCTACGTCTGAGAAGCGCTTGCCGCATCCAATGTGTTGGCACTGGTGCGGCTTCTCGCCCGTGTGCGTTCGGATGTGGACAGTCAGGGCGCTGCGCTGGATGAAGCTCTTGCCGCAGCCGGGCGTGTTGCACGAGTATGGCCTCTCGTTTGTGTGGATCCGGTAATGCCTCTGCAGGTCCGACTTGCGATTGAAGCTCTGGAAGAGGGGAGGGGAAGAAAGTTCATTGTCAGTCCGGCCACTTTCTCATATATGGGAGAGGGACGCAAGCGCATTCCCTCCTTGACCGTTCCTTGACCGTCCATGACGCTGCACCACAGTGTGGTATAGGCGGGAGGGAGAAGGAAGCGAGCAAAAGGTATAAAGGGCGAAAAAAAGATCCATGACGGCGTCATGACGGTGATGGTGGTGGGTGCTGGTGCCTTTGCTGGCGGCGGGCGGCGCCATACCTTGTTGCAGGATTGCCAGTCGCACTGGAACGGGCGAGCCGCAGGCTCGTGGTCGACGAGTTCCATGAGTTCCATCTCTTTTGTCTTTTTTTTTTTCTCTTTTTTTTGAAGGCGGGTGCGTGGGGGTGTGTGCGGCGGTGACGACCACTACGACAACAACGACGACGACGACGACGGCAAGTGTCTGTTTGTTGTAGGTTGCCTTGTTGCTCCAAGTCTGTGTCTTCCTTTTGTCTTTCTGCTGTCTCAAAGGGAGAGGTTGGAAAGGAGGGGCCCGAGGTGGTGGTGCAAGGCGAGCAAGACAAGGTCGGTGCGGTGGTGTGCGAAGCCAGAGAGACTTATATGTTTCCCTTCCGACTAGGTGGTTTCGACCAATTCACAACCCAGCTGGGGTGAGGGTCTTTCTTTTCCTCTCTCTCGCCCTTTTTTTTTTTAACTGGCTCTGCTTCCCAGGGCCCTGCCTAGCGGGCTAGCTAGGTAGCTTCTGGAGGAGTGTGGACGGGGAAAGGGACTAGGTACAGGGGGGGAGGGATTGAAAGGGGTGTGTGTGTGTGTGTGTGGTGGACTTGGGGGAGTCGGGGTGTGTGGGTGGTCGCGGGTGTGCGTTTTGGTGGTTGTCTCCGCCGACTGGGGGGGGGCAGGGCGAAGGAGGGAGGGTGGGAAGAAGAAAAAAAAAAGAGGGCAGGGGGGATGAGGTGTGGATTGTGGCAGGGGAGGGGGTGTAGGTATGGTCTAGTGTGGAGATGGAGGGGGGGGGGCAGCAGCAGCAGCAGCAAGAAGAGAGCGAGGGACACGATGGGCGTGGGGTGGATGGCACCCCTGTCCGGAACGAAGAGTCCAAGCGTGATCTCCTTAATGCGACCAACGCGGGTTTAACGGCAGGTACCTCTTTTTTTTTTCTCCTCTCCTCTCTCTCTCTCTGCCTCTTCGCTTCGGTTTCCCAAGGGTGCAGATTACCCTTCTTGGTCTTTTCCTATTTCTTTTCGGGCAGTGCGTAAGCGAGGGAGAGCCGAGAACAAGACAAAAAAATACCGATTTTTCCTCAAGAAAATAGAAAAAAGAAAAAGGTTCCCCAGCTTGGGATGCAAGGGGCGCGTGCGCTTGCAGTCCAAAGTCGTCGCGGATTATCCAAGTCGGACCTTTTTGGCCGGCTGGCTGGCTGGCTGGCTGGCTCGGTGGTGTGAGGCGAAGACGCAAGGCACAGGCCAAGGGCGAGGGTGCAAGGACTCTTGTTGTTTGTCGGCCGATAATAATGATGTTGATGATGGGGGGTAGCAGCGGAGGAGGGCAGTGACGGACGGACGGACGGACAGACGAACAGCGGGCGTCCGAGGTTCGGGTCCACCACGGACTGCCGGTCAAGGGTGATGCTGAAGAAAGAGCAGGATGTCCCCTTTTTTTTCGTTGTTATTGGTCGTCTCAGTTGAGGCTCGGTGGTGTTACTGTTTGCGGTGGCGACGGCGAGATGCAGCAGCAGGTGGCGGGCAGGAGAAACAAGGTTACTGGCATCAAGCCATAGTAACAGCAGCAATCAAGCAGGCAGCGATTCAGGCGGGCAAAACGAGTGGCAGGCCAGTGGCAGAAGAAAGAATGATAATAACAAAAAGGATAAAATCCCAAAAAACTAGGAGACCAAAAAAGCGGGAGGCCCGAGATGCAAGTCCCAAAAGGTTGGGCTGACTGGATTGGCTGGCTGGAACAAGACACGGGAAGGACGGGACAGTCGAGGTGAGGGCCGCTTCTTTATGGCCGACCAAAGTCTCTCTGCTCGTTGGCCAGCAAGGCAAGATACAAAGAATCTCCCACGGCTCTCAAGCTAGAAGTCTTCTAGCTGGGAATACTCCATCCTCGCCCATTTCCGCTTGCTCCGCGCTCGAGCACGGCGCCGTCGTGTGCTCTGGTTTTCTTTTTTTGTTCCCATCCATATCCCCCGTCTAGGTCGGAGCTGGACGGAGGGAAGGCCAGTGGTCGCCCCGTCATTACGGGATCACGGCGTTGCTTCTTGGGAAACAAGGTCAGGCAAGGATGTCTCCTCTCTTTTTGCTTCGCCTGCATTGCTGTAGTCCGTTCTGTCAAGACGCAAGGAAAGAAAGAAGCGTGGGTTTTGCTACTTTGCCGCTTGCTGCTGCCGCCACCGCTTGCGCACACACACTCTCTCTTTCCCGCCCAAATGTCCGCTCGCATTGCCCTCCTTTCTCTCTTGCGGATAAGCCTGGCCCCTCCTCGGAGACTTGATCACAACGCCGCCGGGAAATAGGCGTCTGTCTCTTGAAACATTATGCGGAGAGCCTGTCCCCTTCACCCCAGCAGTAGTAGCAATAGTAGCAGCGCCGATATATGCAGCACTCGCCCGGGCGTTTTCTTCTTTCCCCCTTGCCATCCCCAGTCGTACGAGTGGGCGGGCTAGCTAAAAAGCTACTAACTACTGCTGCCTCTCTTGCTGCGGTGCCTGCATGGGATCTTTGCGGTGGAGAAAACAGGAAAGCCTCTTTTTTTTTTGGAGAGAGCGAGAGGGTGAGAGACAGAAAGGGGCTCTGAGCGCGCAGGAGGTGGCTGCATATACAAGGTGGGTTAAGTGAGATTCCTTGTCCGCTTGTTAGTCTATTATCGAAGCGTTTTCCTACCAATCCCCGGGCTCCAGAAGCGATGAAAGGCTTGAATGCTCCGGGGTGCAGCTAAACAGAAAATAAAGGAGATAAAATAAATGGCAACCGGCTAAACAAAACCCAAAAACCAAAAAACAAAAAACACGAAGACGAGCGCAAAACTGCATCTGTCCCAGGCAGATTATCCCAATTCCTGCATGTCCATTCGTTATCGCTGCCTTTGACATGTTCCACAAGCAGCTAAATTTTCCGACCCACGCACGACTGGGCTTTTGGAGCTTGTCGACACCAAACAAAACAAAGCACGGCCTTTTTTGACAGCATGTGCGCACACACGCGCCCAAGTCAAAGCGCCGCTCCCTCGCTCCCGTAAAGAAACAACAGCAATCTCAACGGCCGCGGGACGGGACAGAGGGGAGGGAAAAGCAAAGAAGAAGGAAAAAAAGAAGAAAAAAACAACCCGGCGCCGGGGGCGGCCAAGACCTCGGTGGTTGCTTTTTTGTTTCTCGTTGGAGGCTCGGGTTGAGTGATGAGTGGTGGATTACGTCGCTACAGATCTAGCCCGGTCTCTTTGGATTGGCTTGTTGTTTATTCTTCCTTTTCCCTTCTTGTCCATATTGCTCTTTTTCTCTCTCTCTCTCGTTTTCTGGTCTCTCCCCGACCAAAGATGGACAGCGAGAATGCAAATGAGGAACCGTTTCGCTTAGACACAACACACAGCAACAACCTGCCCTGCCAGGCCAGATTCGGCGACCTAGCATGGGGAGGCGGACGAGAGAGAGAGACAGAGCAACACCCAGCACCGGTGGCGACCCTGCGGGAGATGGTAGGGAAGGAACGCGAGAGGCTTTGCACCATGCGGCTGATAATTTCTCGCTGCTTACTTTGCTGCAAGCGCACTGATGTGAGCAAAAAAGAATAGGCTTGGGACGACCCTGGCTAAGCAAGGCCGTCGTCCCCCCCCCTCCCCCGAGCAAAAAGGGAATAGTCTTGTTTGGGTGGTGCGAAAGATCTTCGCTTGCAAGAGGGAGATGCGATGCTGGACTATGATTAACCACTACTACGCTTTCTCTGCCGCATCACGACTCGCACGGATGACGACAGACGGGCTGAAAGACGTGATGTGTGTGATATGTATGGGGGGAGGAGGGCCGGCGGCCAGCAGGGTAGGGTTAGGGGGGAAGACAAGGAACACCCATCTCTAGCGGCGTTTTGAAGGGGGGATGGGGAGGAACCGCCGGAGCACTTACAGTAGGTAAACGCGAAGGAGCAACAAGGCGCGTTGGCCGTGAGGTGGGTATTCGCGGGCGGCGGGCGGGCGGGTGGTGCAAGACACATTGAAACCGGTGAGCAAACCAGGGGAAACAATGCCGCCGCTGGTTGTGGATGGGGAAGGGGGCATACTTTTCCTCTTTTGCTCTAGGTGGTTCTTGATTGAGGATGGGAAGTGCAAGGCAAAGATTAAAAAAGAACAGCAACAAGTCCAAGCGCTGGGATAGACATGCTATGCTGCAATGGATGAGGCCATCCCTCTTCTAGTGGCCCGTCCCGTGACAAGGGCACACACAGGGCGACATCTGGCCCCCCTTTCCTTGCCTGGGGTTGTCGGTCTCGGCAGAAACGCGCGTCCCGTTGTCTCCCCCCTCGCCGCCGACATAGTGGTACGATGGGGTGAGAAGAAGGAAACAGAAACAGAAAC